TGCATAAGTGTATGATTGGTTTGTTATTTTCTCCTTCTTGCTGTTGAGTTGCACGCATTATGCTACTCCCACATATTCCATCTTGACTTGATGAGTAAGTTTGGTGTGTAAGCAACAGTATTCCTTCCTGAGTTTCTGACTTCAGGGAAAAGGACGTAGAACTGGAAAGGTGCTGCAAGGTGGGGCAGTGTGGGATGTCATGTTTATCTGAAATGATTCCCATTGTTTAGCCGTCAGGGAGCAGCCATGCTGACTCTGTGAGGCAAGGACAAGGTCAGTTATGCTGCTTACTCATCATAAACCTCTGAAAGACGAACTAGCTAAACATCGGATTCCTAATGTTTCCCTAAAAAACAACAAAAAAAGAACATGATACTTATAACACATTAAATCAAATATAAGTAAGGAATGCCCATGCATTTACTTATAGAGGAAACACTTTGGAACATGCATTCTCCCCATTAGCCTCCTGACTGAGCTTTTACATTCCCTAACAAGTTTAAACAAAGTCTTTTTTTCACCTCCCATATATAAGATTGTCTTCTGTAGAGACAGACATGCTGTAATCTAATAAATGATACTGCAGCTCCCTAATCAGTTCGCCCCGTTTGTCCTCCATTTTAAAAGAAGCTGGAAAAGAATGATCACAGGATTGTTTCCAAGCCTGGAGACAAAACTGTATCCAAGATGGATAGCAATATTGAGCAGAAGGGAAAAAAACATAGCTCGGCATTGAGAGGTTCTAACTAGGAAAAGTACACATTTGAAGTACCTGTTAATTATGTTTAAATTCTATTTAGTGAGTAACTCTCTACATATTTTCACCTGTGCTTATGCATATCTGCATAATAATGGAGCAGGAAAGGAAAAACAATAGCACCTTTGTGTTAGATTAGCACAAAACAGTAAAACAAGAAGCTATAGTGGACATTTTTTATGTTGAGCTAAGCATGTTTAACCATACTATCCCAACTGTTTACTTCAGTCTATTAATTGTGTCCTCAGTAGGTTTACCAGAATGCACGAGGTTGATGATACTGTTCTCATGTTGGTAAACCATATTCTGGAATATTAACCATAACAGAGTTCCCTGCTTTAGAACCCTATTGATACAATAGCTAGTAGTGAGTCTACTGGAAAGCAAACATACGATGTTCTATAAAAATAAGAGATTTTTCATGTCTGATTGGCTTTGTCCTCACTTTGCTTTGCTAAGCTGTGGCCACCTTGTCTGTGACAATTCTCAGTGTGTTCTGGCATCAACTACTGTTGTGTGTCTAAAGGAGAAGGAAGGAAGCGCAATTTGTGAAGCATCAAGTCCTCCTGGTTATTTCAGAAATATTTGCCATGTTGAATCGGGATGAAGAGTGAAAATTAAAACTTTAGTGTGTTTGTAACCTTGCTTCGTTTTCTTACCTTGTAGTTAATGATCATCACAATCAGAGGCATTCAGAGTAGGGCTGGGTATTTTCGCCAAAGTCATGAATCGATCTGATTTTGATTCATTCAGTTTTAAATCGATCTATTTTGATTCAATCTGTTTTTACAATAATGAAAGTGGTTCAACTGTGTTTCAAAATACTCATGTATTTGATTTTTTTCCTGTCACATTAAACACAAAGTGCAAACTTGTAAATCAGACAGTTTAAGCTTGAAAGGTGAATAAAACTGTCTCATAAGTGAAAACTTGTTTGTGAAAAGTGAAAAAGGGAAGCCTCACCCGAGCAAGCAGACGTGACACAGCAGACATTCATGAGCCGCATTATCTTCACTGCACAAACCATATGTGCAGCATTGTCTGTAACAGCTAATGGGTGTTTGCTGGTCAGCCCCCAATTGTTAATGTCTTCAGTTAACCTATTGGCTATATTTGTGATATTTGAATGTAAACGTCACGCGTGTCACTCTAAAACTAATTGATCTCATTCCCTAGACATCGATTCTGCAAAAATGTAAAGGAATCGATTCAAAATCGATTAAATGAGAGGTAAGGCAGATGAGCAATAACATGTCAAATGTGTGAAAAATCAAGTCTGGTAATACAGTTGCTGTTTTATTTGATCAAATTGTGCCTCCTTTGCCTGTTGTGTGATAATTCTGCCTTTGCTCTATTTAGGTCAATAAAGTTCTCAAAGTTCTGTTAATTGTGAAGAATTATGACTTAGAACTGTTATATTGTCACATTTTCATCATAAAGAAAAAAAAAACTAATTGCGTCTATTAGAAATCGAGGGGCAAACATTCAAATTCAACTAGCTGATTTGCTTAGATGAGGACGAATGGTCCTAAAATGAATAACTGGGTGAATGTCATGGTGAAGATTCTGTGGTCAGGTTTCTAAGTATGCCTCGTCACTGAGATGCTGACTTAAGGCCAACGAGGATGCAACAAAACACAAATATGACAAAGGGCTTCCTTTCTTACTTTATGTTTTTCATCTTTTCTTTTGGATGTTTATGCAGCAGTGGTTATGTCGGTGTTACATCTATAAGTTACATCTACAAGATTAAAGTCAAGACATAAGGGCCTCCTTGTCTCTTTTAATCCCTTTAGCTTTCTTCTTCCAACCCGTTTCCAGCGTCCCGCATTCACAGGAGCAGTCATCTTTAATCTAACACCAGGAGCACAGATTCACTAAATGGGAATCAAGCCCAGAGCTCCAACAATGAGCACAGCTAGAGCCTCGTAGCACATTGTCTCTCAAATGTCCCATATACTGTACTTTCTCTTTGTTTTGTTTTCCCCTTTTAACCCATAGAGGGGCTCTGATCCACCCCCTACTAGCTTGACCTACACATTTTCCCGCCATTTCCTTTTTACCAAGTTTTAGGGGGCCCTCTTAGGGCAAAGATGCCTTTCCAAGAACTGAATGTGTTTTTTGGCTGTGTAACATGTGAGTGTGTGTTTCCATTGAATAAAATCCAGTCTCTGTTTATGGTTCTCTGCCAAAATAAACAAAAAGGAGACCACATTTTCCTATGAAACCTCCACATTTACTTGATTCAACTCATTTGTTAATTTTTTTCTCTTTTTCTTTTTTCTTTTTTAGTTGTGGTGATTGTTCTTCTTCGCTACGCCCACGTTATTGAGAAGCATCAAAACTGTGTTCTCAACACAGCGAGCCTGTCCACAGGCTGGATCTGTGCTGCTGGACTCATGATGGTGGGAAACTTCCAGGTAGGAAATGCAGGAAAGAGGTTGAAAATAAAGAAAAAACTTTAATTCTGTCTCCAAGAAAGCCGTCCAGTTCTATACTTATAGTATTTATAAGAAGGCTGCATAAATTCTTATCGTGAGTATAGACGTAATTTTTTTTTTGAGGATCTGAAAGATTTATCTTTTTGGTATAAGGTATTAAATAATAAAAATTTTAATAATTAAGGGTAAACACTAGTAAGTTGCTGTTTAATTAAAGTCAGCAATATCCATCAGGAATAATTACCGATAAAGGTGGTATGTTTAAATGTGACAGCCAAAACCTGCTATATATCATACCTGGATAATGAACCTATGAATTCAATTAAAAGCCTATTTCCCTGTTTTTGAGAAATCTTAAAGGTCTTTATGCAACTCGAGCAGGGCAAATCTAGGCTGGATTATTCAAATAGGGATTATTTTGTCACATTCTTGTTGTTAAATTGATGTTTTGTCGTTGTCTTGGCCGTACAGCTCAGGTTTCTGGTATCATTTTGGTTACTTGACTATTATTCTTTGAAAAATTGGGAATCATTTGCCTTAGTGGGTTCCTAGAACAGACCCAGCGTTTCAGTACAGAACTTATATTTCTTTTGTTGTTGGGATTGGAGACTTTAAAAGGCCGTTGTGCCTGATTTCATGTTTGCTAAGAGTCATCTTCCTGTCAGAACAGCTACATCTATCTAACTTAATCATTTACTGTATGACTTGAGGTCAAGTTGAACATTTTGAGATCTTTGTTTATTATTCCTTCTGTCTGCCAACTTGCCAGTGGTAGCAGAAATGTTCCATGCCATGCACGACTACAGGAAGACCCTAATTTTGAAGCAGGTGCTTATGTCTTGCTAAACAGTACACTTCTACATCAACAAACTCTTGAGCAATGATAGTACTGGATTATAATTGAACATTATTGTTAATTTTATTAGCAAACTTTCTGTCAGACCTTATTAAAGTTAAACCAAGTCATAGTGAGAGCTGTTTACCTGCATGTGAGAGCTGTTGTCTGCAGTACTCTATAGATCCACACTGAGTTGTATGAGTTTTAAAATTATGTTTCAGAGTGCAACAGTTAGTTGAAACTTGTGAAGCAGTTTCTTTCTTTTCCAAAATCCCTGAAATGTTATATAGAATAATCATTTCATCCTTGAAAGAAGACAAGTTTAAATAAAGCCCAAGTTTAAAGACCTTCATGCCAATGATGAGCGAGTACAAAAGCCCGAGCTCAACTGTTGCAGATATTACATTGCATTCTTTCTTATTCTAAAAAGCAGTGTGGACATCTGAGTTTAAGCTTGAAGTGAAGGAAACCAACCTGATTTCCTTCTTTGTAGATATCTGCTCTCTGGGAAAGAATTTCTTGACGTTTAAATATTTGAAGCCCTGGCTGGAAGCCTAGACTGCCTGTGTTTGCAGACTTGCATTGGTCACGTTGTGGGGACATAAACTCTGTTCACATGAATAGCTGTGGAGGCTGACTCCAGTTCTAGGGAGGGCCGGTGCACATTAAGGCAAATGATCAAATCATTTCAAAGCGATGGTTTGATTAGGATTAAAGTAAAGGGGGTAGAGTTATGTAACTAGTAATTTTCTTCAGAGTAGTTTCCCAGAAACTCTACTTTGCAAGATGTTTTTGGTAGTGTTGTGTTTATTTTTGATAAAGAAAAAGATAACCCGGTATTAGGAGAGAGTTAGGAACCATTAATGGAGCGCTCTTAGTATTATTCTGAAAATCGGCAGCCTGAAAGAAGGCGATGTTTGAGACTAAACTATTTGGTTTGATACAGGTCTGCTTTATCTGGCTTCAACGTCAGTGTGGCTCCAACGTAACAAAGATTGTGAAATAGCTGACTGTCCCTGTGAATAAGTGAAAGGGAGAAGTGACTCATGATGAAAAAAAGCCTCTTCTGTTTGTGACTATAGTGCCAAATAAAAAACTGTTGGTAAAATTTATCAGTTTTTACCGTTTTGAGCAGGCTTTGTCAAACATAACTAAAATGAATAAAAACATATGATCCTTTTGAAGGAGTTCATGACCTTTATCAGGATGTGTCACTGAAGAGTACCAAAAAACAGTTGTTTTGTCGATGCTGAGATGTTTCCACTAGATATTGCCTTGGTGGAGCTCTATATACACTTACCGTATATGTTATTTTCTAACATGTCCCCATGGATCATATGTCCTAAAGAAAAAGTGACTGTAATGTCAGGGACATGCGTTTTAATCCCAGTTGCGTCAGAAAAAGCATCCGGAGTAAAATCATGGCCAAGTCTGTAAGCAAGTCATAATAAATTGCTGTGGCAACCCCAGAGTTTTCATTTTCTTTCCACCTGTTATTATTACTGTTATAATCATCTGTTACATGTTGTCTTCTAAAATTTAAATTAGGCATTTAAAATTCTTCTGTTTTAAAAAAAAAATGTAAAGGCACTGTTTCTGTTTATGTTAGGAAAATACTAAAGCAATAAACCTCTCTTATGTCAGTAGTCATAGAAACAGGAAAGATATTGGTCATATGTTTCATTTCTGTTTTAAACTTGATGAAAATCTATAAATATTCTATAAAGCCTTTGACAAATAAGAGTAAATAAGTATTGTATCAGTGCAACAGATGTGGAGATGTAGCAGTTCCCAACTTCTCCTGTAAGTGCTCACTGCTGCAGAAATGGGAGAAATTTACGGGAAGGGCCAGGAGGAGATGAATCATCAAGTCATTCAGAACCAGATGCAGAGTAGGTTGGCAGAGTGGGTGTGGGGAGCAGAGGTCCCTATGAAGCCAACCACAGGCATGATACTCTGCTCTTTCTGTACATTTATGCCAATTCTGAAGGGGTGCAAAGCAACAGTTCTGAGTATGAAGTGTTGCTTTAAATTACTCAAATGAATGGGGATTATACTGCAGAAATAAGCAAATACCAAAATCTTTCTTGTTTCTCAAACATATGGATGGACTCGGATTCATTGTGGTTTTAAAAACAGAGAAAAACCAGTTGAAATAACAGAATAAATCAAAGGAATGTGAAGGAAGGTATCAGTGACTGAGCACGTGTTGACGTACAAAGCCTCAGTCATTACACGTTTGTTACATAAGATGCTGGCAACAGATCTGATGCATGGCCGTGGGGGCTTTTCCTGTGCAATGGTGGGGGAAAAGAAAAACATAACTTTTTAGATAACCTGGAAACTGCTTATTTCTCCCTTATAAAGGCTTTCAGACAGCTGAACTGCTGGGTGACACATTCTAATTGAGATTTAAATTAACCAAATGCTGTTCTCTATTAAGTTGTTTGGCACAGGGAAGGAATAATACACCTATAGTTGTGTTTATAGTTTGGACTGAAATCAACGAATGGTTAAAGTGTTGGTATACCAAGTCTTTTAATATTGTATTCGTTATGATTTCAGTTAGAGATTCTTGGCGAGTTTTCAGGACATCAGGTGTTTTAAAACGGTTAAATCTCTATTAAGTTTCACTTCTCCTTATTTAGTTCTGTTTTCCTAAACTAAAACTGAGCTCATAAAGCCTGAGAAGTTGGGCTTGTTCCCACATGCTTACCGTCACACGCCCCTTCACTGTTTCAACAACAGTCAGTTGGATTCACATCGCCAGCCTGTGTCCGCCTGCAGGAAATCATTTATCAAACTGATCTTGTTTAGTCATCGAGTCGTGTTTTACGTAATGACAAAACACTCGTACCTTGGAGATTGAACCAGCTGTTTTAAAGGAACAGGGTCACTTTCTATGAAAAATGGATACCGGTGTAAAATTTTAGCTCAAAATATGAGGGCAGGATCTCACATTTCCCTCTCAAAATAAAAGCTATTGCTCAGGAAAGAAGCCATATAGTAGCACTAATAGTTTTTAATATATGTTTACGTCATACATCACTCTCTACAGTTGTTTTTGCCCCTGGTTAAAATGCATAAAAGGCATTGAAATTCCTTCATCTTTAATTGCAATAACAATCCAGCCTTTTTTCTGCTTTTATTTCCATTTATTTTATTGTTTAATTCATATAAAGCACTTTGAAATGTATTTTATACAGAACTGTGCTATCAAAATAAACTTACCTTGCCTTTATTTTGAGTACAATGGTTATGGGCAGTCCCTCTCCTGGAATTATTAGTTAGTTTATTTTTTTTTAGCCCAACTATGTCATTAGGACAACACTTATGCTGAGTCATGTTTCATCCATCAATCTCACCCCTGAACTTTCTGAATAGGAGAAGGATGCAGGATGAAGCACAAATTCTTTCCTCGTACTCGTACTCATCATCTTCAGCTTTATCCAGGAATGGGTCTTCGGGGCTGAGACTCCCAGACTGCCGAGAAACATAGTCACTCCATGGTGTCCCCCGTTGTCCCCTGGACCCCCCCAGTGGAGCGTGTGTGGAACACCTCCCAAGTGAGGCATCCGTAGGGCACCCAAAAAGATCCCCAAGGTAACACAGCTGACTCCTCTCGATGTGAAGGAGAAGAGGCTCAGACTCGGAGCCTCCAATGGGAGGACCAAGCCAGGATCTCATGATCCAGATTTCATGACCATAGGTGAGATTAGGAACGTAGACTGACTGGTAAATCGAAAGCTTTGCGTTTTTGTTCAGCCTTCGCTTCACCACAATTGACTGGTGCAGCGTCTGCACTATAGCAGCGGCCGCACCGATCTGTCCATCGATCTCCTGCTCCATTTTTCCTTCACATGTCAACAGGACTTCAAGATACTTGAACTATTGAGGCGGGAATTGTCCCCCTATTGTCCCCCAATCTGATCTTTTTCTGCTGATTCTCATCCCGGCCGCTTCCCCCACTGGATTCTGGGATTGCTGCCATGATAGGCACCGCACACCTTACCTAAGGGCGGCTGGTTGGAGCCAAAGAACACTGGCCACTAAGACTCAATTGTCTCCAGCCTATCCCAGAATCCGGGAGAAGCTCTACCGGATGTGGGAGATGAACACGTCCCTTACCAACGTCTCCACCAGACGTACCCAACAGACCCTCATTACTCATTGGGACTGCCGAAACTCTCCGGCTTCATCCTCAGCGTATCCAACTCACCACCAGGTGGTGATTTTACAGTTCCGCCCTTCTCTTCACACGAGCATCCAAGACATTCGCCTGGAGGTCAGAAGATAAAACTACAGAGTCTATTATGGACCTAAGGTCTATGATGTCCCAATTGGGACAAGCGTGTAAGATAATGGATGGATGGATGGTCTATGATGTCATGGTGCCAAGTGCACCGATAGACATCCTTATGCTTGAACATGGTGTTTATTATGGACAATCCATGAATTGCACAGAAGCCCAATGATGATTCCCCTGCTCTGAACCCGAATTAATAATTTGGGTTCAAAGCTGGGGGTCCATTCCTCCCGATCGCGCCACTCCAGGTGTCACTATCCACATGGGCATTGAACCCTCATGATGGAGTCCCTGGGAGGGGCTCTATCTAACACCCATGCTGTTTTTTCTTCCCTATACTTGTGAGATATTGATTCTAGAATATAAAAAGATCTTTGTTTTACTCAGACCTTAAAATAAAATAAGATGACTTTGCTAAAAAAAAAATTGTGAAATGAGCAAATTGCACACAATGGAGTCTTTTGGGTTTTGTGGCTTACACAGCTTTATCCCGTAGGAGCAAAGACAAAGCGGGTCTTTGGATTGCCAAGGTTCCAGATCCCCACTGCAATAAATAATAAAAAAAGAAAATTGAAGTAAAAATATAACATTAAGTATAGTTTCAGAAAGTCATGAAGATTCATCAGCTTTGTTCGTCAGTGGAATTTAAATCCTTATCTGAACTGAGCCCTGAAGGATAAGTGTTGACATATAGAATTGGCTAACCCAAGGACACAGCATTATTGAAGCATAACGAAATTGATCTTTTACTATTCCTCTATTTATAATTTCTCTAAATCATTCACAATCCTGGGTTCTTCACCTCAGATCACCCATTGAACATAGATTTGTTTGTCTTCAAAGACACTAGAGTGTAGAGTTTGTTGAATGCTTCGGTTTCTTCCTATTTGACGCCACAGTTATGGTCCAGCTTCAGGTATCAGGACCTCAGAGCTCTAACTTAAAATGTCCTTTTACTTAAAGGGTTTGTGATGTTGTGAACTCAACAAGGTTCCAAGGATATTTTAAGGGAAACAACCCCATAGCATCTCAAATCGTCTATCGTGCTTTTCAGTGGACTTCATGTGCTTTTCCAAATATTCATCAGGTCCCCTTGGCTCAAGTCTTAAGGTTTTTTTGGTTGTTTTTTTATACTTGGTTTCAGGTAAAATCTCAGTAGTGTTTAGCTGTTTAGTCACATTTACTTTTGATGCTAGGATGACAAAATATGCTGTTATACTACTACTGCAAAATAGGAATTTGTTTAAAAACATGGGGATGGTATTGTACGTTCAGTTCTTGTTTTAGTGCATCACTACAGGCAGTCAATGCACTTAGTGGTAAGATCTGGGTAATCAGGGTTTTTATATATTTTAAATCTTTTATAGTTTTGACTGATTAGAATAATACAGCCTTTACCTAAGGGCCATAGAGAAAGAAGTAAGACAATACAAGCATAATAAGAATAGGGTTGCTTTAAATGGATAACCGATCTTTAGCCCCTCAGTGCCACCTTCTACCAGGAGGATCTAGATGCAGTTCAGCTAAAAAGATTTCAGTCCGTTATTCTTTAGTAAAATCCCTGATTAACCCCCCTCCCCCTTATTTTACTAAAGCAGCTTATTTGATGTGTGAAATAACCTGTATCTGGGATTTACATTCTGTGCTTTCATGTGAATTGATCCAGAAATGTAACTTTGTGATTTACGGTTCTGTAATGTCCAGAAGAATGTGAAATATGAACTAAGCTTTTGTTCTAATGAATCCCTTGAATTACTGCAGTTTCTCCAGATCTGCTTTAATTATTAACCAGGAAAAGCAAAATGCATTAATCCGTCTGAATTAGCAAGATCCTCAGTCTGCTCGGATCAGAACATCTGGGTGTGAGAGTTATTTATTTTTTGTACCTATCGGTGGGAGGCATTGTCACGTGCTCCCAAGCCGGTCTTTTGTGCTTTGTTCATTTTGTCTCTTGTAAGCAGCAGGAACTAGAGGCATTTTGCAGCTCAATACTGGCATCTCCTGCATTTTTAATTCTCCTCTCTGACTATCTTTATTCATTTTATTAAACCATTTTCTTTTCCTACCCACAGGTTGACAATGCCAAAGTTCTTCACTATGTCGGAGCGGGCATCGCCTTCCCTACCAGCATGCTGTTTGTGTGTCTGCAGACGGCGCTGACCTACCGCCTGGCTAAGACCCAGGGGGAATACTACTTGGCCCACCTCCGGCTTTGCATGACTCTGCTGGCCTTTGTGGGCTTGGTGCTCAGTATCCTTTTCAGCCACAGTTCAATGGCTCTACATAAATACTTCAGAGTAGTGACACTCAGGGGAAGGGTAACACTTTACATTACCATCTACACAGTGGAGCATTGTACCATGGGGTGTTTTCTCCTTAGCAGCGACAGGGTAGCTGGTCAGGACCGACAGGAAGATAGTTGGAGCTAAATAAAGGATGAAAATCTGTTAGAGGCTACAATAGACTGAGACTAGAGTAGAAGTTGTTCCTTAAGCAGGAAAAACACCCTAAAAACACAACCAGAGCTGAAATGAAAAGGTACAAAGCAAAGCACATTTATTTAAAAATGGCCTAATTACCCCTCGGTTCCACTAGATTTGGCAGCGGAGAGTGTGTGCCGTGGTGCGGGTGCGTTAGTCAGTCCCATCTGATCGCAGCAAATCTAGTCAGACTGTTTTCCAATGGAAGCAACATGTTTCTGAAGCGTCCTAGATGCACTGGCTGCTGGCAGCTTCTCCAATATATCCAGCTCAGAACTGATCTTTCCAGCAGTAAGTCAGTTGTTAAATAAGCAAAGTGGAACTAGAAGAATTTTTTTAGATAAAAAAAACCCTGTTTTTACAGTTAATCGAGCATTAGATAAAAAAAAAAAAAGACAAACGAAATATTTGAATGTACTTACCCACAATAGAGCCAAATAAAAAAAGGCAAGATGATGAGATTAGAGTAGGTACACGAGCGGCTGCTACAGCTGACAAAAGAAACTCTTTACTGGTTTACTGTATTTAAAGCTTTCAAATTCACTACCATAGTGTAATGATGTGAGTGAGTCCGCATCAGGTGGAGTTGGATGCCTGGCAGAAGCTGCGGTGCAGTTCCGGCGCATATATGCACCGCTTTCACATCCAGTGGAACCAAATGGTTAAAGTCCAGAACTAAATCTAGAGGAGTATGCTGGTGAAGATTGTCAGTCATCAGGTCATAGTCATGTTGAAAAAAATTTAAAACTTGCCACTATCTTCTAAATCCTCATCGCCATGCAGGTGGTCAAAACATTGCGCCTGTTAAGCCAGGCCCCTAACGACTCCCCATTACAGATGCATGGGCCAGTTTTGGGTTTATTTGCAGCCCAACAATGACCTTATCGACTCCCATTACTAAGGGGTGGAGCTGTTTTTTGGTTCAGTTTGCATGTTTTCTAAGCCATAACAAGGCTTTTATTGGGCTACTCTATAAAGCCTGGAGCTCAACGCTACTCCAGACATTTTGAATTGAGAAACATGGAAAGCAAGTCCAGTGGTTTGTTTTTTAAACTTTCTTTTGGAGTAAACCTAGAGGAGAGACTTTGGCTAAGTTGGGGGGAAAAAATGCCGTTTACAGCAATCTCTATCTAATCCCCTTGGATTTAGGCTTTTTGCAAAGGATCTAAATGTTCAAAATTGGTATTTACCCCCAGAAAAACCTGTAGTATCAGTGAAATTTGACATTAAGAAAGTTTTTAACCAGGTTGTTTAAGTTATACAATAACTTAAAAAATGTTTAAACCTTTATTTGTTCCCATTGTCTGATAAAATATAGTTAAATAAATGGTTTTATAATAAAGTGTGGAATATTAATCCTCATCCTCATGAATCTTCCCGCCAACCCAGCCCTGCTTTACAGGCCCTTGTAATGGTGTCAGTCGTGTTATGCTTTCTGTTTTGTAGTTTTAGATTTTCCTTAACTACATTTTCCAGGCGGTGTGTTTTTCTGTCAGGAGAGCTTCGTGCTGCAGCACGCCTCGGCCATCTTTGAATGGGTGTTCTGTGTAATCACTATGCTGTTTTACGGGACGTTCGCCTTCGAGTTCGCTGGCATGTCAGGAGACACCATGGCGGTGCTGGCGCGGGGAGGGTCCCTAGGATCGGCCAGGAGAGGACTTAAGCTGGACACTCTGATGGGAATGGGAGGACAGTCGCATCCTCATCAACCTGATAACATGTCCAGACTGTAGCCATTTCTAGCTGCTTCATTGTTACCTTTTTTTACTCCATTAAAACTCCAGTGGAAAAGGGAGTTTCAATCTGCATGTCTGGACATCTTCATTTAACCATTTAAAAAAACAAAACACAACATAAGGCCAGTACAGAGTTGGTGTAGACTTGCTGCTGAGTTTGTATTCTGTCTGCATCTGGATTTATGTCTCAAAGGACCTTGTTTGCATTTTGCACATAGTCGTCCATCAGCTGTGACACCATCAGCTGTCTTTATCGACCGGAAGAAGCAGTTATTTTCTAATCGAATAGGGAGAATTTACTGGTCAAGCCCAACTGTTAACAGTTTCCCTCATGCCGCTTTGGACCATCTCATACCTGCAACAATACTTTTATTGGATGCTGAGAAAGAGAGGCTGCTGGACGGCCTGGCTGACAGTATCGGAGTGTTGAGACTAAGCATGAATATGTGAATAATAAAGGAGCATAGAAATGTTTCACTCAAGCCTGCAGAAAGAACAAACCAGTACTCTGCATTTACACCACAGTTAAGCTATATGTTACCCATTAACATCCTGCTCTGCAAAAGTTCCCCTTGCTTTAAACGATATTTCATCTTTTCCAAATGCATTTTATTTTTAAACCAAAGATACATAGATTGCAAAGGTTTTTTTTATTGGCCAAACTTGATTAGAATTTGAATATTATCTGTTTGGAATGCGGTATTGGTGCTCTAATTTTACATGCAGCTGCAAATCTTTGTATCTACAACATTTCATGCCTAAAATACACAAATATTTTATTCCTGTATTTGAAGCATACACCTTGTGCCTTACACAGTTAAATGGAAAAAATTGATTGTAAACAAGAGAGAAAAAAAAGCGCTTTATTGCTGTATTGATATTCAGCTTAAAATAATACCAGATTTGTCTGTTTATAGAAGAATAGGAAAGAGAGTTCTCTGTGACGAGATGCATGCAAGCTAATTCAAGCCAGAGCACTGGGTTTATTGGGTTTAGTGAGACAAAACATGTGCTTTCAGGTTCTGAGAAAGGGCTGCATCCTATTCCATGTACAAGGTGCAAAGAATGCCTTTTTTAGTTAACCTGCTGGTTTTCTCTTCAGAAAATTACAAGGAATCAGTACATAAGTCTTGGAATGCAAAACCGAGGAGAAAAAGGGTGAATTTTCAATCTTCTGCCTTCTGTTTGGATGTAATGTGATTATATTTATGCAATAAGACCGTTAGACCACTAGTTGACGAAGGACTATGTGAGTGCCAGAAATAACTAGACAAATATGCAGTTAGATAACCGAAGACAGCAAAGTTACTGTTTGTTTTAGGGATTTGATGTGGAAACCAGAGAAAACAGACCTCAGTGCTTTAATACTTGCATAAAAGGTTATCAGCCTTGCCTTAAATACAAAAAAGCCTTGTGTTATCTTAGTGCTGGTAGGTTGCAAGCAAATCTGTCAAACAGGAATTGATTGAATTCAGGCTGAATGTAAACTGAACATGGGAAGGCTTCAGAGGCTTCTACAGCTGCAACACTGCAATAAACTGGAAGGCAGATACCAGCAGCACTGATTCTCTGCTGCTCTCTGCTGGTCAAGCAGAGTTCGGCACGTCTGTATCTGAGTTCAGACACAAAGATGTTAGTTAAAATGATTACAGTCCATTCTGTCCGTCCATGCTCCCTCCTGGTTTAGTCTGTCAAATTATCTGAATTTACACTACTTTTAAAATATGCATTTTCCTCATAAAATGCTGTATATGTGTTCTAAATGTGGAGCTTTTTCCTATTCCTGTGTTGCTGTTTTAAAAATATCCAGTTGATTATGCATCATATAACACTAGTAAATCATTTGTCCCAGTTCCACCTCCTCCTCATGTCATTCCAGCATATGCACTCTGTTGTCTTGTTTATGGATTCATTGGATCTTTGCACTCAGGAAACTCTTCAAACACCAGCTACAACTTTTAACTCAAAGCAGAATTAAACCTTGCTTCTGTATCCTGTTTTAATTAATCATGTGTAGAATAGGCGCTGCTTTTTCAGTCGATGATACCTACCTATGATATATTAGATTTCTTTTGTAAATCTAGACTGTAATGTCAGATATATGTTGCTGTAATTGTCGCTTTTGTACCTGCAAGATGCTCAAGAAAGGAGTAAATATTGTTTTAAAAAAAAAAGAATGTCCCTCATGCAATCAACAGATCGCTGTTGAGAGCATTTTTACAAGCGTATCAGCTCCTGTAAGCCACATTAGAATCAAATATTCGGTACACTGTTTGCTAAAAAGCAAAAAAAACGCACCTTGTGCCTTATGTATCTTGTTGATAACCAAAGAGATCTAGGCTGTAAAATCTATTTTTGATGCAATGAGATGTGATTGTATGCACATTTTATGCCCCGATGCTCAATAAATGAAAACTTTAAGAATTCAAAATGTGAATGTGTGCATATTTGTTAATTTAAGTAATGTGTTTTCCTCTCATAACTGCTGTGACAGACATGTCTAAGCATTAATGGTGAGGGGCCTAACAGTATTGAAATTAATCTGGCTTTCATTACTGGAACTTCCATAAACATGACGGAGAATAAAAAAAATAAAAATAAAAAGCTTTAAGTTAAGCTTATTTAAATAACGCAGAAAGAGAAGGAAAAGACATTCAGCAAGAGATTTGAGGAAAGAAAATGAAGCCAGAAGAGAGGAGTCAAAAAACCCAACTAAAGCCTCCATGCAGTATACGGTGCCCCTGCTCTCACTGAACAACAAAGCATGCAGTAATGTTTGTTCGTAATGAAATTACTGTCGGCTCAGTTATTGGCATCCTTCCTATCATTACTTTCTACATCCAGGTTCATATGTAAGGCAGCAAAAAGCCTCTGAAAGCATTTCATAATGTTGGAGCACAAAGTGAGAGTTTCGATTTATTATCTCCTAATACTGGATAATGCGATAACCATAAAAAGACTGGATTATTGCATTGCTTTGGTGTTTTAGGTTGATATTTTATAGATCATTAATCTTTTTAATCCCATTCCTTTTCAGATTACTTATAACATTTTCATTTGACAATTTGAATTTCTGTGCACTCTAACAAGATCCCATTTGCTTTAGGAAGAAAAACTGACCCATAGTCTCACAGATTTCTTACCGTGTTTAATACTTGACATGAGGCTATTTTCATAATATTTCTTTATATATATATATATACATATCAACCTGCCTGGGCTATTTTACGGAAGCCCTGAAAGGCGAGAAAAAAAATCTGGAAAAGTTTTTTATTTTTTTATTTTTTCCCTGAAACAAAAAAAATATAAGGCAAATTTTTTTGTTTGTTCTTGTAATACTTTGTTTTGCCCCTAGAGGTACTGACGTAATAAGACAGATAGTCACTGTCGGCTCTTTTCTTCAACTGTATAGTTAAAGAGGCCCGGGTTTTCAAGGATCAATGTCCTAAATATAAAATTAGATTTTTGCTAAGTAAAATATACAAACAAGGTACAAAAACTGTGTATTAATCGGCCATGGCATGTGGTTATCATGTCAACCTTGAATTTTTTCTGATCAAAAGAGAATTCTTTGCAAGGATGATCCAGCATATTTGTAAGACAACATCATAACTGCCCTTTCTTAGGATCAAGACTGTATTTCACAGCAAATTATATATGGAGGTGAATAATGTGGCAACAATTTAAATATGACTGCTTTAATGATTATATTTATTTATTTTTTTAGTTATAACAGCTAAATGGAACCTAGATGGGAAACTTAAAGAGTTTTTAACATCAAACTAAATCAAGCAACAGAGCGGGGGGGGAAAAGTCGTAGCTTCCAAGTCTTTTTTTCCCTCCACCATCACAACATGAAAACTTCTTTTCCACAATTTTTTTTCTCTTACCTTTTAGGTCTTCCACACTGTTTGCTCTTTAAAAGCTAAATTTTAGCCTTGTCTGACCAAAGCACAAGAGTAAAGTCCCAGTAAAGGTTTGTAAATTAAATTAATTGTTATGATAGCACAGAAAAAGCTTTATATTTTTCTGTAATCTTTCCTAAGAAAATGCCTGGTATGTAGATACTATTTAATAACTGTAACAATGATATTCTTATAGCCATTTCCAAACTTTTAAAGAACAACATTCATCTGCCTGAATTGCCTTCTTTTCTTTTCTATTTGCAAAAATGCCTTAAAAAGCTTCTTGGTGGCATATGATATTATTATCCCAGGAACAGAAACTCTGAGCTGTCTAAAATAGTATCAAGTGAAATGCTTCACTTAAATTTGGAATAAATTGCTGGAGGTACAAACTTTTGTGGCATCGTCAATTCTTACGTGTGACCTCAACTTAAAGGATGGAATTTTCTAAAATTTTCTGAGGTTTAATGCTCTTTGCAGATCTTACAAGGGATCCCAGCAGATCCCATAAATTCAAATATGTGTTTTAAATAAGGCTTTAATTATAGTAATATGACCAAACTCATCACCAATAAATTATTTGTTGCAGAAAAGGTCAGACAGTTGTTTACAATTATATTCCTTTTATTCTTTCATTATTTACATAGTCAATTTTCTCTGCCCATAAAGCAAGCAGAGGATGACATCGATGGGTAATACCTCAAAATAGAGGAAAACCTCTATTATTTACACATCACTGGCTGCAGGGGAAGATACACACATGCAGTATCTCTACAGTCTCTTCAGAAGTGCTTCACAGGGATTAAATTAGATTAAACATAAATGAAAGCTCAAAATTAGAATGTCTGAATGCCCTATAAGAAGTCTTCAAGTTAAACTCCCTCCTTAATCTAAATCCAAAGATTTAGAGCCATGATGCAGCAGAGTAAGCAAGTGAATGTGGGAACAGTGATATATTTTGATGATTATAAAATTCACATTCAGACAGGCTAACAGGAGCTCAGTCTGTACGTATAAACAAAAGTATGTTTGCATTTGCAACACAGCAGATTTGGTCAGATTTAGAAATAAAATAAGATATTGCTGTTCTGCTAAATAATTTAGCTTTAGCTCTGTGTGCCACAAACATTCCCAAGACCAGGTTAAGTTGTATAATAATTTCCCAAGCTGTATAACCCTCAGAAGAAATCACAAATAGAACATCCAAGCTAGTGGAGTTTTTTTTAAAAACAGACACTTTCCATTTAAAGTTATGACATAACGGCACACATGGAGCAAAAAACAAAAAAAGGGTTTGTGAAAAATATAAGACTGCAGTGTTATTTTTAAACTTGCTCCATTCTTTTTTAATGACTTCCTTTGTTGTATAATGCTGATTGTACAGTAGCAGTACAAACGGCTTCCTGCTGCAAGCATAACAAACCCGACTCAGAGACAACACTGTAGTTATCACAGAGGCACAGTAACAACAAGAGCAACCTCACTTGGTTGGTTTGTGACATTAATCCAATAAAAAACATGTTGTGGCTTTTTAGAACACCTAGTTACGATGAACATCTGAGGTGTTTTCATTGCATTAGACTGCCAGCTTAAAAAATATATATATTTCCCAGGTAGTTGTAGAAATCTTTAGATTGTTTGTTTGTTGTGAAACAGGCTTTATAATTGACTTTGGACCACCCTTACCCTTAAAGTTGATCCCATGAAAGAATCTCCTACCACTTGAATTGTCCTTAAGCAAATTCAAACTTTTCCTAACTTTGGTTTTAGTAACCCATTCAGACATTAGGCACTTAACTCAGCTAATACACAGTAGAAAAGCAAGAGGTTAATCCTCTGCAGAAGTTTTCAATAATTTCAATATTGTCCAAAGGAGGTAAAATGGATTCTGAAGGTTTTAAAAGGCTGGTCTGAATGGGTTATGCACCTGAATGATTTGGACATTACGGTCCATAAACAGGCATCATGGTCACTCTAGAAGATGGTTAATCAGGACGAGGAAGGTGGAGTTTTTAAAAGACAAGCTTTTTAGGAACCTCCCAGGAAAACTCTGGTCGTCCGAAGTGGCCGTAAGCAGCCGTCTGCTGGTAGATGGGCCTCTTCAGCTGCAGATCCCTGAAGAGGGTGGAGAGAAAAAGCAAATGGGGTTAGGATAAACTCCATTAAATTTCAAAGCTTGTGGAGACAACACAGCCATAAGGCTCACATTCTCACATAATATTTTTTAACTTGCTCATCTATATGCTTTGTTTAGACAACCTATCTTTCTCCATTGAAAACATAAAAAGTTATTGTTGTTTATTAAATATTGCCTAGAAATAATTTTACTGTAAAATTGACTGTTATTTTCTTTTTATTTTGCATATAAATATTAATTTTTAAGATAGTATGTAGCCTAGATATAATGCATAGAGCACATACATGACTAATCTTACCCTTTGTTCTCATATTTATACACATACACATTGGCCTTTTTTTTTAGGTTATCTTAAATATTTGGGGAATTTTAGAGGAAAGTCATAAGAGCCTCATGTGTTTGGATTCAGACCGATTCCAGAAAAGATGATAAATGTCGCCACTTTGAGAAAAAAAAGCAGCACCTTGATTCTTTGTTACTGTTTTAAGACGCAAATAAATAAATAGCATAAATTAGTTGATGCAGACTTCAAGTTTCATTTGAAGTCTAAAATTAGTGGGGTTTTTTTGTTACATTTTCTAATTCTCTTAAACACAGATAGGTTTTATGTCAGACATAAAACTCTGTGATTACCTGACAATGACTCCTGGGCGCAGATCAAAGTTCTTGTTGACAATCTTGAGCAGTTCAGACTCTGTTTTCTTGGAGGAGCCGTATGTAAACAAGGAGATGGACAGAGGATGGGCCACACCAATAGCATAAGACACCTTAAAGAGAAATGGATGATAAAATATATTTTCACTAACAGACATATAAGTGATATAAAGAGACTGAACTGTTACTGGACGCTCACCTGAACCAGAACTCTCCTGCACAGTTTGGCTTTGACCAAAGATTTGGCTACCCAGCGAGCGGCGTAGGCAGCAGAGCGGTCCACTTTTGAGAAGTCTTTCCCAGAGAAGGCCCCTCCGCCATGAGCTCCCCAGCCTCCATATGTGTCTACAATAATCTTTCTTCCTGTAACACCAGCATCACCCTGTTGGGTGATAATATCTGAGCGTGAGCAAAGAAAACTTTTCAAACAATTAATTTAGTTGAGAAAAGCCATTTATCTCATGTCAACCTGTGGTCCTCCGATGACAAAACGTCCGCTTGGCTGGAGGTGATACACGGTTTTATCATCAAGATATTTGGCAGGAACCACAGCTTTTATAACCTGATGGGAGACATTTTACCAGTCAACTTGTACATCTGAGTTTATCTCCACAAACATGTTTCCCTGAGCCCAGAAAGGTAAGTACCTTCTCCTTCAGGACCCTCTGCTGCTCCGCCAGAGAGACGCCGTCATCATGCTGGACAGAAATGACGATGGTGTGAACTCTTTTAGGCACCACGGCTCCATCCTTCTGTTCATAATGTACAGTCACCTACAGGACATAAACAAAGTCAAATGTTTGGATTAAAAATAAAAATTTCTCCTAATCTTTCTTATTCATGTATCCTGTTCTCAAGTTCTTCAGCTTTATCACGTTTTATAGATGTGGGAAGAAGAAGAAGTGTGTTGTCTGTGATTTTAAATTTCTGAATTGGATATATTTCTAAGTCAGGCATTTCAGCACATAATGAAATGCTCATTTACCTTTTCGCATTTTGCAACAATTGCTTTGCTTTATTCCCCATGCTAGTCTTTCCCATGGAAACCAGTTTATCTGTATTTTAGAGTCAGGGCGCAGCCAGGGCACTGTGCCATTGCGCCTGAGTTCAGCCATCTTTGAGTTGAGCTTGTGGGCTAGGACGATTGTGAGAGGCATGCACTCCTCTGTTTCATCTGTGGCATAGCCGAACATCAGACCCTGTAGAGGAAAGACAAAGTCGGGAAAAATTTTTTAATTAAATTAAATTAGTTTTGAAAGTTTTTAAAAAACAATGTCAAAGTTGAAGCTCCTTAGAAGCAGACTAATGCTGTTTCTTTTACTTTAAAATCTGCATTTCTGCACTTTCAAACATACACTAAATCCTCTAAAAGCTGGATGAGACCTTTTAAATAAGGTTCTGTGTTGAAGTTTCTGTGAACAACCCCACCATGTGGTCCAAGCACTGCACTGCTGAATCAAATCATAACCTTGACATTAACCCAACATGCAGTCTAACCTGGTCTCCTGCTCCAATGTCCTCTTCATGTCTGTCAATGTGGACCCCCTGAGCGATGTCTGGACTCTGCTGCTCCAGAGCCACCAGCACATTACACGTCTTATAGTCGAAACCTGCAGTTCGAACCAGAGAAATTCAGAGTTCAAGAAACTAAAAAACACACTTCCTCTGTCTCGCCTGCTTTGTAGGCCATTTTTCTCACCTTTTTCAGAGTTGTCGTACCCAATATGTTTGATGGCATCCCTCACTACCTTCTGATAGTCCACGTTGGCCCGAGATGTGATCTCACCACAAAGCAGCACCATGCCGGTCTTACATACAGTTTCTGTTCAATCACAATGCAAACATTAGAATTAGGAGCAATGTTACGGGGATCCATGCTGTGCCATAGGCTTTGGGATGGCTGCTCCCTGGCTAAGAGGGGAGGGTTCCTCCTCTCACCCTTGGCAAAACTCTACATAAGACACCAGACTTCACTTTTATGATACATCCACACAGTAACATGAAGACATTCACACACACACCTGGTCACACATTTATTGCTACTGTGACTGTCTTTGAATCTTTGTCTCTTTGTTGCAGCAGCTCTTTTTTGCTTTCTAACCAAGATGCTGTTTTTAAGGGTTTTATTTTACTAAAGCTAACATGCAGCTGTATACATTCCAACATTTCTGTCTCTTAGGTGAATAACCTCGCCCAGGAGAACACCATTCAGTTTGTAGATGATCCTCTCATCATCAAAAGATAGAAAATAGCTGCGATCTGAAACACAGTTTCCATTTTGCAAGTAGAGAGGAGTATCTTTGTCAACAATAAAACTAAAACTGCCATCAGTGTTTCCCATTTTGCAATGCATGCTGGGTATTGGAAAAAAAACCTGTTGCATAGGACTAACCATGAGAAAAATGAAAATGATTTTGTGGAAAAATCAAATCATTTTCATGTCCCTAAAAAAATTGCGATTGACTCGAAATTGTTTTAATTAGTGTGTGTAAATTAGGCTTAAATTGGTGGGAATCACAGTGTTTTGTTTTAGCATGACTGGGTGCGCTGCTTTACTGTAATGACACTTTATCAAATTACATTTTTTGAGTTTCTGAGCATTCAGAAAAATAAGTTTGATGCTCCATGATTTCTCCAAAGTGACATTAAAAGCAGCAGAACTGCTACTTTTTTTAGGCTTGCGTTAAAAACCCCCCAATGTGTTTCTTTCTGGGCAAGCAGGTGCTACCACTAAGGATTGCTACCCTGTTAAATTAACAGAAAGGATATCAGCTGAATATGTTCATGTTTCTCGATTTAACAAACATAACATGTCATAAGTGGAAGTTCTAGTTGTCTTACCACAGGCCACTTTGGCATCTGGATCCTGCTTCAGATGTGCATCCAGGACAGCATCACTGATTTGGTCACAAATCTTATCTGTAGAACAATTTACAAAGTTTAATAATAATTAAAAAAAAAGGACTCTATTTTCAAACAAACCACATCACATGCTGGAAACTGAAATTTCCAGGCTTGTTCGTTTTACTCTTGTTTTTAGAAGCAGAAAAGTTGCCCGTCACCACTTTATTCCTGCAGGTCTTGTGTAATATCAAGATATCACCGTCTAAGAACTCACACATTAATATTTGACACAGGAGGTGTTTTGTGTTCGGCTTAGTGCAGCGGACAGGGACAATGCCTCTTGAGCCGCCCTATTCATCCCTCTTTGTCACCCTGCTGAAGCAACGCAATGAACGGGTTACATCAGAAACAGGACATAACATCTGGTTGGACTCTGTAGGAGCTCAATCAATCCACAGTTGAAGACCGCCGAGTGAAGTTCTGGACTTAACATTGAGCAAAGCTTTGAAAAACAAAATGTGTGAGAACTGTCCAGACTTTGAGGTGTGTTATCAGCTGCTTCTGCTTTCTACTGATTTTCTGGAAAAAAAAAAAAAAAAAGATCCAAAAAGGTAACAGTTAACTTATGAATCATATAGGTTTAATATAAAACTGAGGGCTTAATGTTGCACTTGTGGTCTACCATACAGCTGCATTTACTGATTATCGATTCGGCACAGAGGACTTTGTTAGATTACATATTTGTGAAGGGATTACAACACAGGGCTGGATGATTGGCCTTCACTTATACCAACAGGCAGGTCAGAGTGAACCACTGCTTTTATCTTCTAGGCTTTCATTTAAACAAGTTTTCCTGTAAATGGCACATGGCTACTCTTTTTTATGGAGTATGCAACCATACACCAGGCTGCTGCACATGTAGCTGCTGCTGCACATGCATCTGCTGCTGCACATGCATCTGCTGTCCCATAGGTTAAAGATAGGGGGGGGGGTCATAAACACATGTTGCTTTGAATGAAACTCCAGACATGCCTAAAGATTAAAGGTCTGTCGACGGATTTTATAAATAAAACAGGGATTTTATTGGAAATTGCAATGTTCAAATGTAAAATTAACCATTTTAAGTAGAAAAATACCTATCAAATAATAAAGCATTCTTTAGTTATATAAATCCAACTTTTATACTTTTTTAATTAATTAATTAATCAATTAAATTAAGGAATCACCTGGATGTCCCTCTCCTACAGATTCCGAGGTGAACATGAAAGAGCCGTCGTCCAGTAAGTCGCTCATTTTTCCTGCAGGATCTGTTACTGTGCAAGGTTCCTTGATTTCCAACAGAGAGATCTGAAGGTAGCTTTATATTCCTGCTGCTTCTATTCACCAAAGTAACGAGGAGCTGAATGTCACAAGCCCTGCAGCCAGAAGAAAGCCTGTCCTACAAAACTCCACGTCTGAGTCCACATGGTTCAATATATACGGCCGAGGGGGAAACACACACACTCTCTGTCACTCACACACACATGTCACGTGAATCCATGGTACTCCATGGGGGGAGTGGATGATAGGTGGGCTGTTCAGTTCACAGAAACAGCTTGTTAACCCTTTGTGTAAAGAGTGATGCTTCAGGATGACTTTACAAGTTCTAACCTGCTTTAGCTGTTCTACTTCAGGGTGGGGGGATCCTTCCTGGATGGAAAACCCTATTACTATCTCACCAGTAGGAAAGCTCCCTTTGCAAAGGATCAGGCAGTTTGAGCAAACCTGTAGTGGTTGCTTTCAATAGCAACAGGAATGTTTTAATTGCTGCTATTTCTGGAACATAGGCAAAGTTATCTGTGTGATAGAGATGACCCAAAACAAAGAACAAAAACTGGATGATCCCAAATGTTTTCTTTTGTAACTACTTACAAATAATTTCTGTCTTTTCTAAGCTCATTCAGTCTTTAGCTGCAACCTTTAGAAGCTAAACAAGAAACAGTTGAATTTGATTTCTTCTCTGGTAACAGCATCAGGTGATTGCAACAGCGTAAAATTCAGTAAATATTAGTAACAACTTTATGCATCATTGAGGTAATTTTTTAATGGTTTTAACTGATTATTAGGATACTGAATGTCATAATGTATGTAATTTGAGCTATAATGAGTCCACAACTTGTATATAGAATATTGTCATATTTAAGAAAGTGGAAATGTCACCAGCTTGTTTTTTTTCATATTCTGAGCTCTGGTCACATATTTTCTTCAAGATGATAATATTTCTGTATTAAGCCAACTGGAATGTCTCATTAAAGCTGTAACTTCGATTTTTTTTCAATATGTATATAAATTATAGCCGTTGATATTCATAAGCAATAAATGGATCTTACCTTATTTAAATCTGATTCCCTATCTGTGCTTGCTGGATCTACTTTATTGTACCAGCTTCCTTCAACCATTTACCATCTCTTAATCCACATAGAATCACAAAAACTATATGTTTTCACAGATATGCTCAAAAGCTTTAACATATAAACATTCACTGACATACTGCTGCCTTTAACAAGTATCTGTCTATTAAAAGTAGTAGGAACATATGCTACCTGGTATATATAGTGTTATTTTAGATAGAGAGAATAAAACACTAAACTTTAAATGTATTTCATCAGTGCATTTCACATAAAGAGTCTGACTTCTACTCAAGTACAGCTGTAGTCTGTGCTTAATTATGCAGGCAGTATCATGCCCTTATGTTTCCTTACGTCCAACAGCATCACTAAAACTTAAATATTGAATCCTCAAAATAGTTAGTTGACCTTGGTTTTATAACGTTGGTCCTTTCTAGCTGGTGATTAAGTTTAGAGCAAACAGTCATCTGTTGTGTACATGCTGTTTTCCCATCCAATTCTAGCCTGAGGCCCTTGGCTTTATAGATAACCGCAGAATACATCAAACCATTTCCGGAGAGAAAATCAAATGATGAAGATGTGTCTTTCAGATATTTCACTGGTTTCAGCTGATTCACTGTATGTTGTTATAGAAAATCTACTGTAGAATGGTCCAAGGCTGCAGGTGAAACACATGAGGAGATGCATGAGCAAGAACCACACGTTTAGCTTCAGACCTTATTTTATGTGTGCTTTTAGAATCAACTAGAGCAGGGGAAAACCAATTAAAAATCAGCGGGGTCCGAATACAGAAAAATCATCAATCAGTAATGGTCCTGAGGCATTTTTAATTATAATCAGTCACTTTAAACAGAATGTAACCCTGAAATAAAATGAAGTTTTTATGCATCCATGTTATACATTGAATTTTTAAATGAAAAAATATTTAAAAAAAAATAGAAAATTTTCCATTTTAAAATTTAAAGTGCTTTTTTGAAGTAGAGAGCACCAACAGTTCAATTTTGGTATATAGACAATTTCCTGATTTACATATTTTATAAAACACCTGAACTGAACTTTTAAAACTGTGTTTTTTGTTTTTGTTTTTTTTTTTGTGTCCTGTCCGGCGATGTGGCAATAAGAATAATTGTCTTGATGCCAAAAAGAGCCCAACAGATTTTACTTTCAAAAGTGGAGCAGTACGGCTATCGCCATAGTGTTCCGCTTGATTTATGCATATAAATAGCTTTATTATAATTATGCAGGGAGTTTTACAGTTTATATGGACACTGCAATGTAAGTAGAACAGGAAGGGAAAAAGACAAAAAAGGAGAAAAGATGAAAGAAAGAGGAGATAAAAGGGAGATAACGATAAAACATCTTCAGTCTGCTTCATCACCTGCAAAGAGATGTAAAAAGAACAGCACAACCAACAGACATGGTACGAGACATACAATAAAGTAACACCTTGATACTATCACTGAAGTATAAGTAGTATTATTTAATCAGAAATTCATACTGTGGGAGCTGAAGATAAGAATGCTGGCTTTCTGTATGGAAGTGAATCTCTAAGTACCGGTACCTGGAGCTAAGCACCTGTAGTTGTCTGTGAGAGTGCACTTGTGCATGAGAAGTTCATCCAAAGGAAAAATGCTTAATAGTGGTTGTGAAGAGGCGAAGAGCCCCCCCCCCCCCCATTTTAAATCAGGTTGGGTCCAGATTAGCCAGCAGGTGGGTCCAGATCCAGACCGTGGTCCACTAATCCGTGATCTCTGAACTAGAGATATTGATCTGTGTAAATAGATATACATCCCGTAAATCTGTTTAAATGGTTTTAAATCTACAAGCTTTAAGTCATTCAGGCGGGCAGAGCAAATTCGTATAAGTTGGTGATATGGTTAGATTAAACCAAAACTGAACTTTTTGTTCTACATATTCAATGACATATGTTGCAGAAATGTAATACTACATATTTATGTTTTAAAACAGGGCTTAAAAGTAGGGCTAGGGGATGTATTGGGAATTGCCCTAAGCAAGCCTTTTATTACCTGAACATTTCCAGGGTTAAATGAATAATGTCCAAACAGTATCTAGAAAAACTCATTAATGCATCTATCTTTAGTAGAACTGATTA